TGAACGCGATGGCCGCCCGCTGCGATCTTGTTGACAACCCGCGACGCTCTGTGTATTTAATGAAATGAAGGCCCCTGTCAACCACCGACCCGGAGGCTACACGGCTTCAGTCAACGAATGCCGACGGGGGAATTAATTCATTAAAGGGAAAAGGTCTGCCCGTCTACGCGGATTGTGCCCTATCCCCCCCAGTAGTGTTCCATCCAGCAGTAAAACAACCGACAATGGCCGTCGCCGCCGCACCCATTCCTTCAAACACACAATACGGCTCCTGTCAAAATCACAACAATTATTCGCAATTGGTGGCGTGGCGACGGTCTCGAGCAGCGAGTATACGGGGCGATGATAATAACAATCCGTATCCCTTTACGACCGGCGCGCTTACCGGCCCCGGTCACCGCGTGAGCGGCGGCGTGCCATGCCGGCGGCCGCATTGTGAATTATCCGGATTTATCTTTACGAGGGCCGATTAAGCAGCCCGCTGGAGTGGCGACCTGGGCGGGCGCCGCGGCGCGCCGGGCCGCTCGCCTCACGCACGCCGAGCTGCCTACCCGCCGGGCGCAACATTCACTTTTACGAGCCGCACCGCGCGGTCACGACAGGGAGGCTCACCACAGGCATTCTGTCTTGCACACAGATACCAAACCACTGAGGAGCGATGACGGCGGCGATGACGTTGCGCCGGCAACAAGGTACGACGACGCATTGCTTTGCTGCATAGTCTGGTAGCCAGCCACCCGCATACACCGCCCGCCAACCCCCCGCCAAGCTCTGACGAATGTGTTTGTCTTTCGACCGCTTTCGTATTCCGCTTTCCGTGTTCGTCGTTCTTGCTCCCCCGTGTCCCGCTTCTCGCTATCGCGCCGACAAGCTCGTCTCTCTGCTGCTCGGCTCGGAGCCGCGCGGCTTCGGTACGACCAGCTGACGAATGGACAATAATTGTGCAGCAGAAGCTACATCGTCCTCGCCGGCGCAGAGTTCCTGGCCACCACCCTCCTCATGTTCATGGGCTGCGCGGGCGCCTACATCGAAAAGGACAAGTTGGCCGCGAACGTCTACGGCTCGGCGGCCTTCGGGCTGGCCGTCTTCATGTCGTCCATCGTAAGTATTCAGTTTCGATACATATCAGCCATGCCGCACTGGAGTGGGATCCCTCACGCTCACTGACCCACAAAAAAGACTATAGGCATTCCCAATTAAGTGTAAGACATACGCA